TGTGCTTTGCTAAGCTTGTTCTAAGTAGGTGCTTTAGACCACTGAGCCATCTCACCAGCCCCCGTTATATTTTTTGATGACAGCTATCCTTTCTGGGGTAAGATGTTATCTCAATAATTTGCACGTCTCTAATGGCCAGTGATACTAAGCATTTTTTCATGTATTTGTTGGCCACTTTTACTTCTTCTGAGAAGTATCTGTTCATTTTGCTGGCCCCGCTTTTATTTTTGTGGAGGTTGAATTTTTTGAGTTCTTTATATATCCTACATGTTAATCTTCTATCTGAGGAATTGCTAGTAAATGTTTTTCCGATTCTATAGTTGTCTTTTTACTCTGTTTTTGCTGTGCAGAAACGTTAATTTGACATGGTCCTAATTCAGCTCTCTTTCATAAGTGCCAGATTAAAGTTCCAATTAGGAGGAAGATTACTTCTTTAATCAGTGGTTCCAGGGGAGAAAATGGTGCTGGGAGAATTATATATCCACATGCAGGTGATTAAGTCTAGACCCCTATTCCTGGACAGGCAAAACCATTACAGTAAAAGTGGTAACACTTCCCAAATTGATATACAAATTCATCGCCATCCCAGTCAGAATTTCAACAGCATTCTTCACAGAATTGGGGAAATCACTTCTAAAATTCATGTGGGGCTTGAAGAGACCCAGAGTAGCAAACATAATCCTGAGCAAAGGCATCACAATTGCGGACCTGAAGTTAAATTAAAATGCTGCTGAGATAACAGCAGCATGTTCATGCACAGAAACAGACTTAAAGATCAGTGGAATAGAACAGAAGATGCTGGCACAGCCCCAAGTGTGTTTAGCTATTTGATCTTTGGCAAAGGGGTCAAAAACACACTGAGGGAGAGATAGACTCTTCAATGAATAGTGTTTTGAATACTGGCTACCCACGTGCAGAAGATTGAATTTTGACCCATATCTCTGACCATGTTCTAAACTAAAATCAAATAATTAAGTGTTAAACAAAAACACAACCTGAGGGGCTGGGAGACAGCTCAGTAGAATACGCACTTGCCTGGTAAGCGCAAGGGCCTGAGTTCAAAAAAAAAAAAAAAAAAACCCAAAAAACAAAAAAAAACCCAACAAAAACCCCCACAACCTGTTGGAAGATAAAATAGGTATAATTTTTGAAAAGATAGGCATAAGAAGGGATTTTCTGAATGAAACCCCAAAAGCATAAAATACCAAGAACCAGTAAGTAGGACCATACCAAATTAAAAAGCTTCTGACACAGAGAGTTGCCATTGGGTTTAGGACCCATAGAAATCCAGGAAGAGCTCCTCTTGAAATCCTTAACTAAATACATCTGCAAAGAGTGCTTTATAACTAAAGTCACATTGACAGACTTTGGTAGGAACAGTTAGAATATAGATCTTTTGAGAGACACCTTTGAACCAATTACAGAAGCCCAGAGAAGAGAAAGGTTTGATTTATGTGTCAAATGCTTCAGTGTGGTCGGGTGAGATAATGACCAAAACCATCCATCAGATTGGGCAGGTGGCGATTTTATCAGAGCCAGATTCATCGGCATAGCTAAGGGGGCTGAAGAAATTTTCTTTTGAGAATCTTAGTGATAGGGAAGGAGGAAAAGGAGACAGTACATAGAGGGGACCTGGACTTGTTTTTTCATTTCAAGAAGAAGGCACCTGAAGCATAATTATAGGTATGGGGTGGGGACAGAAAGGAATCAACCAATATAAATGTCAGAGATACAATCTTCAGCTTGAATATTAAATAGCTTTTCCTCATTTATTGCTTTTAGCTCTTGGTCAGTCATTTGTGGAGTTAGAAATTAAGAGTAGATTGAGGTTTAGGGTAGGCTTGGGGAGACATATGTAAGAATGAAGTAAAACTGCTGTGGGCCAGGTGTGCTCGTGCATGCCTATAATCCCAGCACTGGGAAGCTGAGGCAGGAAGATCACCCCAAGTTTGGGGCCAGCCTGGACTACGTAGCAAGACCCTGACCCAACAAAAACAGCAACAAAAACTATTATGGTCTTCACATTGGGTACCTGTATATTCAAAATGCTAGTGATAAGGATAAGTAAGCTGTAGCAAGCATTTGCTTTTGAATCGGTATTCTATAGGTCATGTAATTTAGTTCTCCATAACACTCTGCAGTGTGACAAGGTGGGTGATAATTTCAGTTCCGTATCACAGCTGAGGAAACTGATAGCAGAGAGATTATGTGACTTATCCAAGATCTCTTCAGTAGAAAGTGATGGAACTGGTACAAAATGTGGGGCTCTCACTCCAGAATCTGTACACTAATGGGTATTCATTGTACCAAGTACTGGACCTCGTTGCCCTTTAATTCTACTGAACATTATGAGTTAAAGACTGATATTTGACAGTAACTGTGTGAGATGATGGCATTCTTCCTTATGAGATCTATTCTCAAATAGCCACATGCAGGTACAGTGCTCTTGATAATCCCAGCAGTGTTACATTCTTGGAGGAAGGGAATGTAGAAGTTTGGCAGATAACAGAATAGAGTGGACAGTGACATAGGCTTTTGAGTTACACAGGCCAGAATATGAACCCAGCTCTACAATTTACTAGAAGTGAGAACTTGGAGAATTTTATAACTTTTGGTTCTCAGTTTTCTCACCTGTAAAAATTGTTATGTAATATCTAATTTTTCAGGGGTTTTGTGAGGATTAGACAGCTAATGAATGTGAAGTTCACATTATAGCTCTTGGTGCATGTTAAGTACTTAGTAAGTTTTATTTCATCTTTTTGGTAAGTTCTGTTCTTCATAATGGTGATATGAACTGGGGACAGTGGCACATGCTTGTAATCTCACCTTCAGAGATGGCCGAGGCAGGAGATCACTTGAGCCCATTAGTTCCTGGCCACCCTGGCCAACACAGCAAGAGCATCCTGTCTCTTAAAAGAATTAAATAAACAAATTGTAACATTTTACAGCCACAGTGATCAGATAGCATTTTTAGACAGTGAGGTTGAAACGGCACCTCCCTGACTGGAGGCACGGCTTGCCTTCCCCTTGCCCGTCCCCTGCCCCACCTGATGTTGGCCTCCTTGGATTCCTCAACCTTCGAGTGAGTGTTCTTGTGAATGTCTGCTCTCTAGACCTGATCCTGGACCAGCAGGAGCTGTTCAGTGACCTGAACGACAGCATGAGGGTCAAAGTTCGTGAAGCCCTTCTCAAAAAGCATCATCATCAGAATGAGAAGAAGAGAAACAACCTCATTCCCATTGTTCGTTCCTTCGCTGAGGTTGGCAAGAAACAGTCTGATCCACATTCGATGGATAAAAATGGTAAAATTGTCACAAGTGATGTTTCTCTTTCCTAATGCTGGTTGGGGATGCTGACCTACTAGAGCATAGGGGCTGTATTTGTAATGTTTTCATGCCCACTTCAGCATTATGCACTTTTTGTGGTTGGAAGGTAAGTGGCTGGCAGTGCCCGTGTTTCTCTCCCATGGCAGTTAGGACGCCTGCTTTTGATGGAACTCAGTGGACCCAAAGGAAAGAGCTTGTGTCCCAGGGTGCTTTTAGAACTGAATGGTTGGGGAGAGCTGGCAACATCAGGGACAATTTGGGACCTGAGAAAGTGGTGAGCCTTTTAGAAGGAAACGAGTGACTTCCTGATTAGAGGCAAAATGCAGTAGTGTAGGTTCCTCCATGCCCTGGCCAGCGCTTCACACATGCTTAGCAGCCACTCTACCGCTGAGCTATAGCAGCTCTACCAGGGCAGAACTGAATCAGACCTCTGCTATGCCTAGGTTTCTGGCGTTCCCACCTGCAAAATGTATGATGTTGGACAACCTACTAAAGTTTGTTAAATCTTTCTCATTTGTAAAATCAAGACAATATGAGGACTCTCTCCTTCAGTTTATCTCTGAAATCTCTTCAGAAATTTCAGTGAATAAATTTGTATCAATCCTTTAACCAGGAACTCAGCTGCTGACTGGTCCTTCCTGTAGCTGGGCAGAGCTTCCTCTATTCTATAGTTTTCTCTCTCTCTCTGTCTCTCTCTCTGTCTCTCTCTCTGTCTCTCTGTCTCTCTCTGTCTGTCTGTCTCTCTCTCTCTGTCTCTCTGTCTCTCTCTTTCTCTGTCTCTCTGTCTCGCTCTCTCTCTGACTCTCTGTCTCTCTCTCTCTCTCTCTCTCTCTCTCTCTCTCTCTCTCTCTGGTACTTGGACTCAAATCCAGGACCTCTCACTTGCCAGGCAGGTGCCATGCCCCTGAGCTATACTCTGGCCCTCTATATTCACCTATTTCTCCTTGTTTGCTAAATTACAGTGTGCAGCAATATGCCTGGGAATCTGTATTCTGGAAAAGTTCTCTGTAGAGGTCTTTCATACATACTTCTGGCTAAGGATACTACTACCTAAAGAGAAAAATGAAAAAGGTCCCACGTGTGTTCAGCAAGATGCAGAAGTAGTAAGAGGTCTGTTTTCCACTTCACTAACTATAGGTGGGGAGATAGGTATGAGCAGGTCCTGGCTTAATAGTTGTGCTGGTTTCCTCTCCAAATAGCCATTGCAGGAGACGTGATAGCTAACACTGATGGATGGGGTGTGACACAAGAGGAAAGGGGCAGGCCCTTAGATCCTTATATTTGATTTTCCCTAATAGGTCAAACTATATCACCTCAGTCTATTCCAGCCACAAATCTTGAAGTGAAAAATGGAGTGAATTGTGAACACAGTCCTGTGGATTTGAGCAAGGTGAGCAGAGACATGGGAAGTTGGCTTAGGTCTAAGGCTAGCTCTAGTGGAACTGTGTATCCAATTGTAAGAATCCAGGTGTGATTTGGTATTTCAAGACCCTTTTTTCAACCAGCAGGTTTTTAAAAATTAGTTCATATTTCCAGTACATAATGAATACATGTATCGTGGGGTATTTGACATGTGCATAACAATCTTGATTCTTTTATTTATTTTGGCAGAACCAGGGATTGAACTCAGGCCCTTGTGTTTGCCAGGCAAGCATTTACTCTACTGAGCCATCTCCCTGGCCCCGAGTCTTTTATTTTAAACAAAATTCCTTTCCACTCCCTCCCTTCCAACCTTTCTTCCCCCCCATTTACAAAAGATCTATTTCCATTTTCTATTTAATTCTTTTTTCATTTAAATTCCCTTTCCTTTCCTTTCCTCTTTTTTCTTCTTTCCTCTTTCCTCTTCTTTCCTCCCATCTATCTTCTGTTTTGCTCATTATTTATATTTTGGGTTCCTTACACAAGAGAAACAGTGTTTTATTTAAATTTGTGTGTTTATTTAACTTAGAATTATGGTCTCAAGATGCATCCATTAGAGGGCCAGTGAGTTAGCTCAGCAGCCTAGGCGCTTAGGCAAGCACAGGGGCTCAGGTTCGATCCCTGGCACCATATACCGTTTTGGCCCTGCCCTTGGGCATGCTGAGCTGGCAATGGAGTCTGGGTGTGGTGGTGCACGCGTGTAATCCCAGCACTAGGGAAGCTGAAGACAGGAGGATCACTATGAGTCTGAGCTGTGTAGTGAGACCCTGTACACCTTGTACTAAATACATTAAAAAGAAAAAAAAAGCTCTGTAGTACTGGGGCAGTCAGTTTCACTTCTCTGGGTCTTGGTTTTTCTTCTTCTGCCGTATCCTACTTCTTTTTCATCTTTTAATGGTGGGACTAATGTGGCCTGTCTCATCCATCACCAGAAACTGGTAAGGATCAAAATGTAGGGAAAAGTGTTTGTTAACCATAAAATAACATGTGAAAGTAAGGTATGAGGAACATAATTGATATTTAAAATAACAGCTCCAAAATCAAGAGGCTGGTTTGCACTTTCAGGTTGACCTTCATTTTATGAAAAAAATTCCCACTGGGGCAGAGGCCTCAAATGTCTTGGTTGGAGAGGTGGACACTTTGGACCGGCCTATTGTTGCCTTCGTGAGACTGTCTCCAGCTGTTCTTCTCTCAGGCTTGACAGAAGTGCCGATCCCAACAAGGTAAAGGCTAAGATAAAAGTCAGTGTGTCTGAATGCCGCCTTTCCTTTCCTTTGTTCTGTTCTTTATTTACACATAGTGGAGTACTATTATGACATAAAGAAGATAAATTTGATTCAGTTGTTGAAAAATGGATGTAGCCTGAAGTCAGAAGTTTAAGTGAAATAATCAGACATACAAGTCTAAACATTTTCATGGTTCCTCTTATATGAGAAACGTGAAAGATAAATACATCAAAGATCATGTAGAACATACATATTAGGAAGCAGGGAGGTAGAAGGAAGGAGACAAAGTGATGGAGAGGGGGTTGAGGCTCTCGAGAGGAGGGCAGGACAGAGAAGAGGACAAAAAAATAATTAAGTTGTGTATGTACCTGTACTGTCTCACCACAATGAATGGAATTGTGTGCTCCAAACATGAACCAATCAAATAACAAATAAAAATAAAATTTAAAAAACCCCACACATTCCATCCAAAGTATAAATTTATGTGAGCACTGGTAGAATAAAGCATTTAATGCAAAGACTAAGATTAATTTTGAAAATGTATTTAAAATTTAATAGTGAGTTTGGAAAACTAATTTATTTGATTGACTGCCTTGCAGACAAATGGTGAATTTTCAGGCTGTGAGTGCATGCTACTTGCTCTTTTGGCAGTGAGAGCTGAGGAGAATCCCAAGCCCTAGTAAGGGCCTTGAGAACGCGTGACTGCGTGTTCCAGCAGGAAGCCTAAATCTCGCCTTCTAAGTTCTACAGAGACATATTTCTTAGAAACATTTCCAAGTGAAGGTATTGGTGTCTCTTCACAATCCTGTCAGGGTTTGTAAGAGTTGCACATATGCCTGCATTTGTTCAAAAGGCTATTCTTGCACTCTGAAGGTGGCGATGACAGTGATTCAGAGCCCCACTAATTATAGAGCATTCAGATGTCCAGAACACAATTTAGACTTCTCTATTGGGCTTGATCATGTCAGCATCCTTTTGCCTGCTGTCCTCTCCCTGTCATTTTCTTATTAGAACTGTGAATGGGTTCAGATAGTCTTAAATTTGCACAGTGCCATGTTTGGAAAAGATGTCCTTTCCAAAGTGAGGAATTTGAGAAGTTAGGTTTATGGAAACCTTCAAGACGTGGCCATGTTGTTCAAGGCTGTCATACAGATAGCTTTTAATTCTCATGTTGGAGCTACTAGGTCAAGGCATCTTGAAGTATTCCATATTAGTATGTTTCCTTGCTTTAATTTTTTGAAGGTATGAAGATGATTTGTCTTCAGTAGGAAAAAGAAATGTTTTGCTGTTTAGAAAGGAGTAAGATGTCACATCTTTACTTCTACTTGTACAACTTCTTTTTCTGTGTGTTTTTCCAGATTTCTGTTTATCTTATTGGGTCCTGTAGGGAAAGGCCAGCAGTACCATGAGATTGGCAGATCCATGGCCACCATCATGACAGATGAGGTATGCGCCACTGCTGCTGTAGTCACATTACGGATGTTTATGGAGTGTGTTTTTCTGTGTCACGTACTGCGCTGATTGCTGGGATAGAATGATTCCAGTTGCACGGTCCACTCAGAAGCAGATTAGGGCTCCCCTCTGAGAGTCTATTGTGGGAGCACCAAGCCTTCTAGGAAATTTTTCTTACATTATCTCTACCTTTTTAAGTAATCAAAGATGCACAGAAATCTTTTTTTTTTTTTTAAATGGATTATTGCTGCCAAGTAGAATGTGTGGAGAAATAAGGCCAACTTAACTTCCTAGAGACTATGGTTAATTAAATGCATCCAAGGTTTTGCGCAAAGAAACCTTACTTACATCCCACATGAGCAAGAGTGGTTTGTATAGGGTCAGGAATGTGACCTCACAGAGTGTACAGGAAGGGCCTGCCTGTCTCTACTAAGCCACTAGATGTTTTGACTCAGTGCCAAACTCATCAACAGACCATTGGGAGGACTGTGTTGCATGCGTAAGCTCCAAAGCGGGGTTTTCAAGGTGTGCGTCTAGGTGGGCTAAGGGAAGTTTGAGCTGTGTTTTATCAGCTTGTTTGACTGGGAAACTTATTTCATAGAAGACATTCATTAATAATTCTTCAAATAGTGGTCAAGAAAATTTGCTATACACCCTCCTTTTTATTTTATTCTTTGTTGATACTACAGTTGACAATAATAGAATTGTACAACTTTATTATTATTATTTTATTTATTTATTTTTTGAGACAGGGTCTTATTATGTAGTTCAGGCTGCCCTCAACTCACTATGTAGCCCAGGCTGGCCTTGAACTCACAGTGATCCTCCTGTCTCTGCCTCCTGAGTGTTGGGATTGTATATGTGAGCTACATGCCCAGCTTGTACAACTTTAGAGTCTTGCCACCTCTTTTTATACTAGCAGACGTGTATTTAGTTCTTCTTACCACCTTATCTCTAGGTGTAGTTTTTTTATCCTTTTATTTTTATACTTCTCTAAGGTTTTTGTTTCTCGTATTCCCATGACCAGGAGAAAAATCCAGAGACTGCGTCCATCTATCACTGTGTCCATTGGTGATTATATTAAGAAAAGTAGCCTTCAGCTTTCCTAAGGACTTTTTCTTCTCTGTAGATTTTTCATGATGTGGCATATAAAGCAAAAGAGCGAGATGATCTCCTGGCAGGGATTGATGAGTTCCTAGACCAGGTGACAGTGCTTCCTCCAGGAGAGTGGGACCCCTCCATTAGAATTGAGCCACCCAAAAACGTCCCTTCCCAGGTAATGTATGCACACTGGCCAGCGGAAGCTAGTTTCATTGAGGTGCTGTGGCAAACATGATCGCATGTTTACTGTGGGCCTATGCTAAATAAATTAAAACATGACCGTGTTGGGGAGCTCCTAGAATGTCAGAATAGTAACTTAAGTTGAATATGCTATCACATGGATTAGGCTCAGTATGACGAGGTATCAGTTACCTGCCGGTGAATTTTAAACTTGATTTTGAAGGATTGATATAAACTGGTCAAAAGGAGAGAGAGAATATTTCTTTGGAGTACGTCAGGTACAAAGTTATCAAATGAAAAATCAATTTTTTTTCAAAGTTTTATTGATAAACAGATAGCAATGAGACAGTTTCAAATCAAATTGGAAGTACAGTTTCAACAAATAATACACTGCATATATTCTTCTTAGTGAAAAATCAATTGTATGGAAGTAGCAAAAGTTTCCCACACTTTTCTGAAATACCAAGCATGGAGAGGGAAATCCTATTGTTTATTAGGTACCAGGCCAGGTGCTTTATGTCTGTGCATACAGTATTCCCAGCAGCATTTCCCTGAAAGGTATTTCTTGTCCTAGAAGAAGAAAATGATTTTCCATGGCAAAGTTTTAAGGTAAAGTAAAATTACACAGAAGCAGATTTGGAACTGAAACTTAGGTCACTATCTGATGCTAAGCTTCCATTTTTCAGTTTCTTCTATAGTGAGGTTCTATTGGAGAGGAAGACAAATTGTATACATGTAAACACACACACACACACACACACACACACACAGAGTTTCATGAAAGTCAAATTGTTTCAGATCAGTACATGTATTTGAAAGTATCAAACACTTGAGCAGTTTGGTCTCTTTGGGTTGTGCTGTCACTACTCCCCCTTGTTGCAGGAAGGGCAGATAGATGCTGATTTTACTAATTTTGTGGTCTTATGTTAAAAGGAGAAGAGGAAAATGCCTGGGGTCCCAAATGGAAATGTTTGCCACATAGAACCAGAACTACATGGGGGTCATAGTGGGCCGGAACTGCAACGTACTGGGCGGTAAGTCCTGGGACGTGGCATGGCTAATGTTGCTTACTGGAAAGAAGTTGTGTAAAGGAATAGCATCCTCTCTGCTTTCTGCCTTTTTGTCTAAATTGGGATTTTATTGTCTGGGGACAACTTTTTAAATGGAGTCACTATGAAACACTGAGTACTGCCTTCACTTACTCACTCACTCATGCATTCGTTCAGTCAAGTTTCCTGAACTGCCTGTCATTTTCTGTCTCACTTGCAGCCCTCTCCACGCATAATTCCCTCTGATTTAAACATTCACTCCCTTCACCACTCCTCACTCCAGTTATCCTTTGTTCCAGTTTAGATGTCACTTTCTTTGCAAAGCCTGTGAGTAGTCTCTATACTTGAGATTAGGTGTTCCTGCTAAGTAATGTCACATGCTGATTTGTCTGTTTTCAACTTTTAAGTGTGTTTTTACAGTTCCTGTAGTTTGCATATTTCCTCTTTGCTCCTCATCCCTCTCACTTTTTCTTTGGACCACTTCCCTATTGCAAGAAATCCAGCCTTTTTCCCCCTTCTATCTATTCTTTATTGTTCTCTTTGCTTATACTTTGCCTCACTCAAATGAGAGGTATTGTGCAGTACTTAAGCTTGTGTGTTGGGTTTATTTCACTCAACATATTTTCCAGGTGCAACAATTTTCCTACAAATATGTCAAATTTATCAGTCTTTATATCCAAGTAATATCCTATTATGTATAGAATCCTGTTTTCTTTATCCAGTCATATGCTGGTGTGTGTGCAGGCAGCTTCCAGAATTTAGCTATTAAAAGTTGTGCTGCTGTAAACACTGGTCTGCGTGCATCACTGCTGTGTTATGACTGAAGCTCTTTGGAGAAGACACCTATCAGGGGGATCACTGGGTCATACGGGATTTATAATTTTAGTTCTTTGAAAAATCTCCATGCTGATTTACATAATGCCTGAACTGATTTAGGTTTCCATCAATGATGAGGAAGGGTTCTTTTTTCCCTACAGCCACGCCAGCATTTGTTACTGTTTGATTTCTCAGTGATTGCCGTTCTTTCCAGAGTAAGATGGAATCTTAACATTGCTTTAATTTGTATTTCTCTAATGGCAAGGGACTTGAACATTTTTTTCATCTATTTGTTGACTATTTGTATTTCTTCGTCTATGAAATGTCTGTTTATTTCTCTTGCCCATTTCTTGACTGGGTCTTTAATTTTAGGTAGTTTAATTTTCTAAGTTCTTTGTATATTCTAGATATTAGTCCTCTGAGGAATAGCTAGCAAAAAAACCTTTTCCCATTGGGCAGATTGTCTCTTTACTCTACTGATTGATTCTTTTAAGGTACAGAATCAAGTACCTTAAAATAATTTATAGTCTGATATAATCCTATTTATTTATTTATTAAACAAGATCTTGCTAACTGGTTCATTTGAAGTCACTGTGCAGCCCAGGCTAGTCTGGAACTCACAGTGGCCCACCTGCCTCTGACTCCTGAGTGCTGGGCCCCATTTGTTTATTCTTGCTACTATTTCTTGTGTACTTGAGGTTCTATTTAGAAAAACCTTTCCTATACCAATGCCTTCAAGTATTTTACTTGTTTTGTCTTCACTGTTTATTATTGGGTTGTTTTTGTTTTGTTTTTTAATTTGATGGAACTGGGGATTGAACTCAGGCCCCTGCGCTTGCCAGGGAAGCGCTTATTCCACTGAGCCATCTCCCCGGCCCGCAACTGTTTATTATTGGTTGTTAAGTATATTTATGTTTGCTTGATTTAGTCTTGGCAGTTTCTGTGTCTAGGAATTTGTCCATTTCTTCAAAATCTGCTAATTTGTATTAGTAATTTTTCAAAGTAGTTACTATCTTCTGGATTTCAACTGTGTCTGTTTTTTCAACCATGATTTTCATTTCTAATTGTATTGATATCCTTTCTTTCTCTTGGTGAGTCTGACTAAGGGCTTGTCTAATTTGTTCTTTTGATGAGCCAGCTCTTTTTTTTTTTTTTTAAGACAGAGTCTCACTGTGTAGTTTAGGCTGCCCTGAGTTCACTGTGTAGGCCAGGCTGGTTGAACTCATGGCATTACCTCCTTCAGCCTCTGAGTGCACACACCACCATGCCCAGATGAACCAGCTCTTCAATTTGTTGAGTTTTTATTATTTTTTAGCCTCAATTTCATTGATTTCCACTCTCCTCTTTATAATTTCCCTCCTTAATTTTGGTTTGGGGCTAGATTGTTGTTTGTCAAGTATTTTAAGATTTTTCATAACTTAGAGATTGATAGCATCAAGGTTTTCTTCAGATGGATATCTATGCAAAGATGAGATTTCACCTTTCTTTCAGAGTCAAAGAAAGCAGAATAAACTATACTATAATAATACGTGGGTTGGTGGTAGGGGTGAAAGACCATAAGACTGGATCTGAAAAATCATAAGATCTCAGAACTGGTGCCTTACACTCCCCTAAGTAAATCCCATATTGTCAGGACTCTCACATGTTTAATCACAAACCCTAGGAACTGCTGGGTGTGTGGCGCATGCCTGTAATCCCAGCACCTGGGAGGCTGAAGCAGAAAGATCACTGTGGATTTGAGACCAGCATGGGTTACATAGTGAATTCTAAGCCAGCCTAAACTATGTAGTGAAACCCTGTCTTTTTTTTTTTTTTTTTTTTTTTTTTTTTTTTTTTTTTTTTTTTTTTTTGTGTGGGGCCAGCTCAGCCCCCCAGGGGGCGGGGCTGGCTGGCTGGCATGTGGTGCTGGGGGATTGAACCACAGTTGAAACCCTGTCTTAAAAAGCCAAATAAAGAAGCAAAATAAAGACTTGCTGGGTTTTTCAAATGTGAGCATTGGTTCTGATGAATTTTCCTCTTAAACTGCTGTTATAGTGTACCAGATATTTTGTTGTTAGTCATTGTCATTCACTTACAAAAATTTTAAAATTTTTTCTGTGATCCACTGATTGTTTAGGAGTATGGTGTTAATTTTCCAGGAGCTTTTGCCTTTTCCAAAATTTTTTCTATCACTGATTTCTATTTTCAGTGCCCAGTGGTCTGATAGTATAGACCATTGATTTCTGACTCTCCCCGTCCCTACATTACAATAGGTCTTATCACATTTTATTGTTAGTGTTTGATTTGTTGTGTTTCCTGATAGACTATTAGACTCTTTGCTCCAAAAGAACAGAGACTCTGTTATACTCTTAGCACCCAGCCCAGTGCCCTACACAAAGTAGATACTTAATATCTGATGAATGAGTGAATTCTTTCAGCATGGAATGGACTCGGTAAGGATAAATGTTGGGTAATCATTTGAGATTAAGAAATTCCCATTGAGGGTAGGAAGATAGATACTGTCTTAGACATGTAGGTCTCAGAATAGACAATGTACCCTTGTAGGTCAGTATTTGAAAGACAGCTATCTAAAGAAGTGGTGTCCCTTGCTGTAGGTAAGGATAGCAGATTCCCAGAACAGGAGGTTTTACTTCCCAGGTAAGAAGGTTGTAAAAGGATATTTCACATTGTGTGACATCCAGTGGTGTTTGGAGATTATGGAAGAAGGTTGAGAATATGTCCCTGGCTCTCTATATTGTATTGTATTTACAGAGGATCTACTGGACAGAGATTCTTGGAGCAGGACATGGATCATAAAAAGAAGCTTTTAAGTCCTCTGCTAGTTTGCTTTCACCTTCTTCTCTTCTTCTTGCTTGAGGCTCTTCTAACCAATGGAAACTCTGATTGTTTTCCCATTTTTTAATTGTAGAGAGAAATGAAATTATTTTTCCACTTTTGGAAAATTGAGAGAGAGGTCACTAGAGGAGACAAACAGGAGAGAATGTCACTTAGCGAGGTGCTGTGATAGGGGAGCATATTTTTGGTCAGAGGAATGTGTCTGAGGATGAGAGGAGATATCTATTCTGGGAGGGAGAATTGGCAAGAAGGAGCAGCCTTGGAATGGAAGAGGTCGCTGCAAAGAGGGAGCAGCCTCCAAGAGTGAGTTAATCAAGAGAGGTCTGAGTAGGTGGGGCCTGCTGCCGATAGACAGTAAAAGAAGCTTCTCTTCTGACAGGAGCTTTAGGTCTAAGACTGTCCCAGAGGAGACCCACCACTACTGCAAAGGGGCTTTTTTTTTCTGACTGGCTCAGCCCACCCTGAGGGCAGGCTGGCATGGCATGTGGTGTTGGGGATGGAACTGCGGTCCCCTGCACCTGCCTAAGCTTGCCTAACCAGGCGCTTCAGACCGCTGCGCTATCTCGCTGGCCCCACAAAGGGTCTTGAGTGCGCATTTGATAATACTTCAGAGTTATGATTCATATTTTTGATATAAAGGATGTCTACACTCTAGGACTTAGAGTTTGATGGCAACAGAGTTCGAGATTGATAGCAGCAGGGTTTTCTTCACCTGGATATCTGTGCAAAGGTGAGATTCCAACTTTCTTTCAGAGTTAAAGAAGACAGAATAAACTACCCTGTAACCATGCTTATGGTCAATTCCACATGGTTTGGTGGTGGGAATGAAAGACCATAAGACTGGATTTGAAAAAATCTTAAGATCTCAGAACAGGTGCCTTATGCTCCTCAAGTAAATCCCATACTGTCAGGGCTATCATATGTTTGATCACAAACCCTAGGAACTGCTGGGTGTGGTGGCACATGCCTGTAATCCCAGCACCTGGACGCTGAGGCAGAAGGATCACTGTGGGTTTGAGGCCAGCATGGGCTACATAGTGAGTTCTAAGCCAGCCTGAACTGTGTAGTGAAACCCTGTCTTTAAAAGCCAACTAAATAAGCAAAATAAAGATAACACCCTGAAGTATCTTAATTCATAAGTTCAAAAGGGTTTGAAGTTCTCTCATAACATCATGTCAGGAGTCTCTGGAATTGAACAAAGCTAAAAGGAGGCTCTAGGATAAAAGAAAGCTCTAGGATTAGAGCTTCCTTTTGCTTGGTAGCCCCCTTCTGGAACTTCCAATATTCTTCTTAAAGACCTTGGTAACGAACCTTAAGACATGGGGCCCAGCCGCCACTGGAGCCTCTTAGGCCAGGTAACCCAGTGCCGTATCAGAGATCACCATTCTAGGCCACCTCTGACCCCTTCCCCATTTCAGATGATGTGAAAGGCAAGTGTGAGCCTATAGCTGGACATCCCAGAGGGGTTTAGATCTTCCTAGGCTGCACAACCTAAAAGCACATTAGCCTGGGCTTTATAATTATTCAACACATTTGTTATGTCTCTTTGAATGCAAAATCTGCTTTATACAACCTTAAGAGAAAACTTGGAAACTTATGGTGCATTATTCTTGTTGGATAAAGAAGTGTTTTGAGGATGGGAATATGGGAAAGGAGATAAGGTTGAAAACAGTACTTCGAGTTCTGTATTTTCCGGCCCTCTAAGCCAGGGCCCAGACAGTTTCTTGAGCCTCCCTGACACTGACACAAGCAGGGATGCCATTCATAGCAAAGAATCACAGATGGCTAGAGTCTTCCTAGTCCAGAAGCTCTGCCTCGAGGAGAATACTATAGAGAGAGTTTCCAGGGCAGATTTATATCCTATATTAGGGATGCTGATTTGGGGGAAGGGTTAACGGAAAAAAGGGCTTTAAATGGTTTCTTCCAAAGCATACCAGACAAGTAATGACTTGCCTGACCCTCAAGCTCTCCAGGGAAGGAAGGGCTCCCTAAGTCAGTGCTCTAGAGACCTGGGTAAGTCCTTTCTTGAATCAAGCTTAAATTCATAGCCCCAAGCACTTAAACATTGAGGATGATGTTGAAAGTGAAATGAAGTTTCAAGTATGAAGAGAAACACCCAAGCCTGGTTAATATCTATGGTAGTAGTGCATTTATGATGTGATCTTATGCGTGAATGAGGTATCAGACTGACTACCTAAATAGTATTCAGAAATTATTTTATTAATTTAGAGTTATACATCAATATGAGCGCTAAAGCTGCTCCTCTTCTCTCTTTTAATCCCTGCTAGATAGATAGGTGTTTTCCTTTGCTATGTCATTTTGGAAATCCATCCCCATAAATCTTTTGTCGCTAACTGACACTCCTCACTGAAACTGACTCCTGTGTCAAGGGACAGGCAATCATGGCAGCATGTCAGGTGGCCTCAGTGGGTAAGGAGGTCCTTTATTCAGAAGAGTATCCTTCAGGGGAATGTTACTTGTGATAAGGAGGGACTATTCATCAGAAATAAGATACTATAATAGCCAAGGACCTGGCAACACTTGAATCTTGCTTCAGCCTAATCACTGCTGCCTGTTGTTACGTCACTGGAGGGCTATTTATCTAGTAGAAACAGAAAGACAACGTGCAAGCTTATTATTAATGGGAGTCTTGTTCCCAAAGCCTGAACCCTCATAGTGTAGGTTAGGCCCTGTAGACAGCTTCTTTATCTAAACTGGGTTTTCCAGAAAGGCTAGAAATAAGGCAGGTCACAGGCTAGCATTGCGTCTCTGCTGTAGCCCACACCCTGATTTTGAAGTTTCTTCTATAAGTAGAGGAAAGGTGAATCCCAACTACATCCTGCAAAACCAGAGGAAATGAGCAAGAAGGTAACATAGAACAGTGTCTGCGCTGGGTCTACCTGCGCACCCATTGCGTCTCATGAGCTGAATGAAAGAGCACTGAATGGAGACTGGGACCTGGCCGGGCCTGTCCCTGCTCCCAGGCCTCACCTCACTTCTCCAGGCTCCTGAGAGATAAGGAATGAAAGAGCTGGCTAAGCTTCCTCTGTGAGAGAGTACTTATTTTTAGTTTTTGCTTTTTATTACAGAAAATTTCAAACATATAAAAAAGAAAGAATAGTTAAGCGAATCCCTATGTACCTATTGTCTGTTGCTAGTATTTTCCCAATCTTGTTTCATCTACTTTTTCCCATTTAGTTTTATTTTTTCTATATCATTTTAAGCCAAATTAGAGACATCATTTTTCCTGGAAATATTTCAGTATATGCCTTATTTAATAAGTACATTTAAAAATAATGATGGCATTGTCAAGTCTAGCAGAATTAATGCTCATTCTTTAAATCGTCTAATGCTCAGTCCATATTTTTTTTTTGTGATTGTTAATATCCTTTTAGAGTTCATTTATTCAATACAGAATCCAGTTGAGGTTCGAGTTTGGTTCTTATGCTGCCATTCTGTCATAGCTCTTCTTCCTTTCATTTATTGTGACCATTGATTTGTAGAAGAAGACAGATGATGTGTTGTGTAGAATGCAGATTTACTCCCTTGACAGATTTTTTTTCCCCCAGCGCATTAACTTGGTTCTTAGAAAAAGCAGCTCAAATTCAGACAGATAGTGAGGTTAAGCTTAACAGCCTAGGTTGTATGGTAATAACAATAAGCTTGTCTTCTGGATGGTTAACAACCTAAGTTTGCAGACCAAATTAGAGAAAAAGGAGGGCTGCAGGAAAGCCAACATTTTGGCCCTACCCTTCCAAGGTCATTTAAGACTCAGGACATATGAGAACTTGTACTGTAATGTCATGTAACTTGGTAGTGTCCCAAATTTTCTGATCAAGGAGATTATGGGGCCAAAGAGGAAAGTGATCGATGATGTAGAGTGTGCCTAAGGAGAGTCACATGGAGAGAAAACATTCTCTTAGGCTCTCACAGAGAGCACATTGGCCAAGCAATGGCCGTGACTCATCCACATGGCTGACACTGACAAAGGTTCTACAATCTGAGGTATAGGACCTCAGGAAAAATCCTGAGGGGATTTCACTGAACTTATCAGATCCAAAAGCTACAACTCTTGTTTCATAGGTCCTGCTTTACCTTGGTCTTAACCATCCAGCAGAAAAGTATAAAAACAAAGTATAAGAAGTAAAGCCATGCTGTTATGTTGAGCTGTAGGGGACTCAGGTCAACAATTTCTGACATTGCCAGTGAAACGGAAGACCCAATACTATTATGGACCTCTGAACTCTTAGAATATTTTGCTGAGTTTACACACCTATAATATTTAAATGATGGAACTTAACAAAAAAAGGGGATACAGATGAATGTTCATTTTGTATCTGTGTATTCAAAGTGGTTAGGATAGATATATAGTTACATTCTCTTAATGAATAGTGGGATTTGTTCTAATGGTGTTTGTAAATAGGATACGAGTCCGCATCTTGTACAGCAATTAACCACTAGGAAGAGAGTATGCAATGTGTTAATTATTGAAACTGTCCCACCAGTTTGGTTTGAAACTGTCTCATTGCTATTTGTTTCTCAATAAAATTATGGAAAAAAAAAGAAAATACAGAAACATGGAGAAAAAAAAAAAAGAAAAAAGAAAAAGTTCAATCTGGAAGCACTGCTCCTCTTAGGCATGGGAGGTCTGACTCTTCATTTCTGTCTTCCATGGAAGGTGAGAAGGCTCTGAACATCACCCAAAAGTCCTCTTGTTTCTACCTCCTGACAGGCATTTGAATCTCCCCTCATTCCTCATCCCTGGTTGTGTGCCTCTCATCACACTGCCAGGTTGATCCTGTCAGAATGTGTGCATGATTATGTTGCTTTGCTATTTACAGTCCTTTAGTAACTTGGCATGCTGTTCATAAGGGTCTAGCCTTTTATCATTTCCTTCCTTCCTTCCTTCCTTCCTTCCTTCCTTCCTTCCTTCCTTCCTTTCTTTCTTTGAGACAGGATCTCGCTATGTAGCTCACACTGACCTTGAGCTCACTTTGTAGCCCAGGTTGTTCTTGAACTCACAAGGATCCTCCTGCCTTAACCTCCCAGGTGCTGGGATTACAGGCCTATGTAGCCACACCCAGCTTCTTTTACCATTTTCAAGGTCCTTTGTGAATCAGCTCCTCTATCCAGCCTTGTCTGTTGGTATTTGTCCTCACACGGTGTCATCCAGTGGTACCTGTTCTGGCACCCCGACCACAGCGTGCGCTCTCCCCTCGTAGCTGTCACCCGTGCCAGCCTCCTATGTCATCTGGCTCTCTCCAGGTCTATCCTTTGAGTCCTTCCCTGCTAAATGGTCCTTGCTGCTCTGGGACCCCAAAGCACCCTCACAGCACTGCCTGTCTCCTGCACTGCACTGCTGGTCTTGGAGAGGAGGGTCGTGTGTGCTTTACTGTCCGACTGCAGCACCTGGAGTCCCGGCACCATACATCTGCTACCACTTGTCAATTGCATGCATGAACTATTACACTAATTTCCTAATAGCAAAGTAGATGGTTGTTCAGAGTAAAAAAGGGTATGTGATAAGGGCTTTTTATCTGGAAAGTATTTAATAAAGCTAACAATTTTAATACTTCAAGTTGCTGTTACATCTTTTCTCCAAATAGCTCAGAATTTGAAATTTCAGACTAGTACTTTAATTTTTTGAATTTTTAAAAAATGGGTGATATGCATAGCCAAATTCTTTTTATTCTCAGGATAAGTCATTCACATGCACTGTAAGTCATGCTCTTGAATGCAAACAGAATCTATGCTGACCTGCAAGAGATCTTCCATATTTGGGGTCAAGTTGAAGCCAAAATACTACAGAACACATTGGAAAAGGTTTCTCATTGGAAAAGGTCATGTGCTTTTGTGGATGAGGGACTGCACTAGAGGCCTATCTATTGTGTTTTCCCAGACTTTTTGGAGGATTGGTGCTGGACATCAAGCGGAAGGCCCCTTGGTACTGGAGCGACTACCGAGATGCACTCAGCTTACAGTGTCTGGCCTCTTTCCTGTTCCTGTACTGTGCCTGCATGTCACCTGTCATCACCTTTGGAGGGTTGCTTGGAGAAGCCACTGAGGGACGCATAGTAAGAGCTTGCAACCACTTAAGTAGTTCCCAAAAGAAATTAAGATAGTGCCATGGAAGCTAAGTGCGTTGGTGGGAAATTACGTGGCATAGAGCTTGGAGGTCGGGTTCTTTCTCTTACATGGTCTTCTGACTTCCTACGAAAGAACAGCATGCTTTTCCCTTTAAAACAGAAAACTCTTTTCTCCCTTCAAAGGTCACTTTCAATGCTAGATATCAAGTTGAATTGCTTATTGCCCCAAGAAAGGAAAAGATAAGAATATATTGGTGCAATTTGAAAATAAGATTTAAAGTGACTCTGTATGGCAGCTTGTAGTTTGAACAACATCACTGTGCTTTTTGTATTATTTTCAAATGCTGAATTGAGGCACTGAAGAACAGAATTTAGTTGAGAAATCATATGCAAATGGATTTTTACACCTGAATTATTAAGGAGGTTTCAGCGTACAAGAGCATCAGATGGCGTACACACCACTCTTGCTAAGACGAAACATGAGCAGATGGCTATCAAGGCACACATGCGAGCTAAGTGAGGAGTGTGTACACGTCAACCGTACCTGTTACTGATGGGCCCTGGGTTCCTTGGTTTTTTTTTTTTTTCCTTCTCAGAGTGCAATTGAATCCCTGTTTGGAGCCTCCATGACTGGGATTGCCTATTCTCTGTTTGCGGGACAGGCTCTCACCATCCTGGGAAGTACTGGGCCAGTTCTTGTGTTTGAGAAGATTTTGTTCAAATTTTGCAAGTAAGACATTTGTTTTCCTGAAAACTCTAACTGGATGTGGTGATTGTACTACCAGAATTGAATGCCAGGGACTCATGCAAGTACACAAACAAGCAAGTATTCTAAATTGTAAAAAACTTGAAGGAAGAACATCATTTAGTCTATTGGCTGGTCCCCAGGCAGCACTATAAATACAATAGCAGATCTCTTTTTCTTTTCTTTTCTTTTTTATATTTTTTTTTCCTCAGGGTTTTATTATGTAGTTAAGGCTGGCCTTGAACTCACTTTGTAGGCCAGGATGGCCATGAACCCACAGCAATCCTCCTGCCTCAGCCTCCTAAACACTGGGTTTTATAGGTATGCATCTCTATGCCCCGCCTTTTTTTTTTTTTTTTTTTTTCCTGAGACAGGGTCTTGCTATGTAGTTCAGGCTGGCCTTAAACTCACAATGTACCCAAGCTTGCCTTGAATCCACTGTGAGTCTCCTGCTTTAGCCTTTTAATGCTGGGGTCATAGGCATGTGCCAGCATGCCAAACCAGATCTCCCATTTTTAAAGCGTTTGACTAATGTCCCTCAGTCATTATTGAAGTCTTGAGTTTTAATGTTCAAGATATTTTCCCTAGCTATTTTCTATCACCATTTCTATTTCAAGTCTATTTTTAATTTGGCCTTCCAGCCCTCTTTCATATTCTGGTTGCTAGAGGGTAATGGCATCTTAGGAATGCCTTGGCTTCCCTACTTTTCCTATAAAATCTTTTCTTTCCATTTTATAGTAGAAGAAGGAGCACATGGTACTAGAGCCAGGCCCCTTTTCCTCCTGTTCAAACATACTTTTCATTACATTGGGTAGTAATGGCAGAGACGTGCATGAGATAATCCCTTCTCTACTTTATATTTGTTAAGGCAAATAACACTTGGGAAGAACATATTTATTTATTTGACGGGTCTTACTATGTAGTTCAGACTGGCCTTCATCTCATTATATAGTCCAGGCTGAGCTTCAACTCATGAGTGCTGGGACCACAGATGTGCACCACCCCACCTGACTCCCAGTGAAGCAGATCTCTAACCTGACTATCCTGGGGCATTATTTAGGGATGAAATGCAGTCAGAATTAGGAATACTCCAGATTGCAGAGCTGGTATGGAAAACATGAATCCACCAGATTTGGCTGTCTCTGTGCACCACCCCTTCATGCTTTTTGATGAACTTTGTTCTCATTTCAGAGACTACACCCTTTCATACCTCTCCCTGCGAGCTTGTATTGGACTGTGGACCGCCTTCCTGTGTATTGTCCTTGTGGCAACTGATGCCAGCTCCCTTGTCTGCTACATTACCCGCTTCACCGAAGAAGCATTTGCCTCCCTGATATGTATTATTTTCATCTATGAAGCAATAGAAAAGCTGATTCACCTGGCAGAGACCTATCCCATCCACATGCACAGCCAGCTAGACCATCTTAGCCTCTATTAGTAAGTACATTTCTGCTTATCTTTTTCTTCTTTTTCTTTTTTAATGGAGCAAAGGGCCCACATTTAATGACTGATGCAGTGTGCCTGGCAGTGCTTACCAAGATTCTTGGCCTCCAGGGAGAAGGTGCTCGGATGTGATGAGGAGGCCTGGAGGGCTGCCAGAGGAGAATGATCAAAAGTGATGACCGAAGATGAACTGAGAGTGAAACCCAGTGGAGGCTTGAAAAATGCTTTCCAGACCTTTCATTTGCTTCTAGGCATTGAAGCAAAACCCTGTTGCAAACAGTGGGGATTTGAGTTTGTTATTGACAAAACTACCTCTTGCAAAGACCTGTGAGCCCCTAGGCTATACTATTAAGGGAGAGAGTCCTGTTTTTCTCGGAAGGTGTACAGATAACTGTTAGGAACCATTAGGTAAAATAGATGAATAATTCCCTTCAGATCAGGAGTCTCTCCCATGGTATCACAATGATTTAGATACATCCTTACCTTTTTTTTTTTTTTTTTCCAGAACCAGGAATTGAACTCAGGCCCTTGCGCTTGCCGGGGAAGCGCTTATTCCACTGTGCCATCTCCCTGGCCCTATCCTTACTTTCTTGATTTTTACTCAGAATTCTGTGTTGCAGCCACATGTGGTAGTGCACACCTGTAATCCCAGGGCTCTAGGAGTCTGAAGCAGGAAAATCACAAGTTCCTCTGATCCTGTCTCAAAAAAAAAAAAAAAAAGAGAGAGAGAGAGAAAAGAAAAAGATTTAGGTATTTTATTTATTTATTTATTTTTTTTTGCATTCAACATTGTTTGGATTAACTAGAAAATAACCCCAAACATCTGGCAGTGTTTTCAACCATCTGAAGGAATATGGCCAATGTATCTTTTTTTTTCTAGAATAGTCTCCAATTATTTAGCCCTTTACTCTGTTCCTTCCCTCCTGGCTTTGCAGTTCTGATGTGGTAGTGAAGTGCATAATTTTTTAATTTGAGATGGTGTCTTCCTACGTCACTAAATTGCCCAGATTGGCTTAGAATTCGCAGGCCTCTTGCTTCAGCCTTCAGAGTGCTGAGATTACAGGCATGTGCACCACACCTAGCTTTTTCATAGTCTTCTAGTATTTAGACTAGTATTCCATTGCCTACATGTATCCATTTACCCGCTGAAAAGCATCTTGGCAGCTTCAAATTTAAAATTGATTTTTATTTTGACTTTTTAAGGTAGGCTCTTACTGTGTAGTTCAGATTGGTCTTGAATTCTCTATGTAGTCTTGGTTGGCCTTGAACTTTCAGTGGTCCTCCTGCCTCCCAAGTTAGAGGCATGTACCACCATGCCCCCATAACTTTTCGTGCCACATGTGGCCCCTCCCCACAACTTTTTGGGTCAGAGTTTCACTTTTATTCAGACTGACCTCAAACTCCCCAGCTCAGCTAATCATCCTGCCTCATCTGCCAAGTGGCTGGGATTATTATAGATGATTCATTTTCATTTCTAATTAGCAGATAGTAATTGTATATGCTTATGGGATACAGTGTAACATTTTGATACAGGAATATAGAGTATAATAATCAAATTAGAGTATTGGCATATCTATGGAATTGACCTTTATTTTTAATTAATTAATTAATTGGATTCGGGGGTCTCACTGAGCAGTTCAGACTCATACTGATCCTCTTGCCTCAGCTTCCCAGTGCTGGGATTACAGGTGTGTACTACCACGCCTGGGGCCAGCAGGTGCGCCAGGGTGCTAGGGCCAGCACAGCACATGGTACTTGGGATCAGGGATTGAACTTGGGTCCTTGCGCTTGCCAGGCAGGCACTTAGACTGCTGAGCTATCTCCCCAGTCCCTGGAATTGATTTTTTGTGGTACTGGGGATTGAACTCAGGACCCTACACTTACCAGGCAAGCACTTATTCTACTGAGCTATCTCCCCAGCCCATGGAATTGACTTTTAAAAACATTAAATGTAGTATTTTGCAACTTTCTCTATTATTTTTAATGTTTTTGGTTTCCTCTAGTTATTCTGACCTATTGAAATCTTTTTGAGTTTTAATTCTGTCATAGGTGGCATGTTTATTAAATTCTTAAATGAAACAAATGTGGTAGAGATGACTGTCCACACCAGGAGCCAGCTTAGGCACAAAGCATGCAGGAGTTGGAAGACAGTGATGGCCACGGGGCAGGTGTAGATACTTGTCTCTGAGACTCACAGTTTAAGCTCACTATGAGGTGTGGACTTAGGACTCACTGCTTAAACTTACGATCCATCTGTTTTCTGTGTGGACAGTTCTGTACATTTTATTTATAACACCTCAATGTCTTGTTTTGGTACAGTAGACCTTGTCTATATAGTAGTGTAATTTTTGCTGATTTTATTTTATAGTACAGTTCTGTAATTTCATGTTCTGTCATGTATTACCATATTGCATGTAAGAGTTGTATAAATAAAAGCAAAGTCATCCAGTTGGAGTTTTCTTTTATTTTCATTCTAAATATCGTAATATGCATACTATGTAACATATATATATACACACGTATATTACTAAATATACATGACTATATACTAAACATAGTCACAGGAACAGAGCTTGGTTCTTAAATGAGCCATGTCTGTGGTCTGGTCTGGTTTAAATGAAAGACAAGGCTGGGGAGAGAGGAGGCCTGGCTTTAGTAAGAGTGGCCAGGAAATGGCCAAAGTAGTGGGATATTATCAAGGATAATATCGAGTCAGAGCTTATGTCATAATTCTAGGCAACTGCATGTTTTAGAACAAAAAGTTCTAAATGATGGGGGTATAAAAGTGAACTTGGAGGAACTTGTTGAGAACTGAATAGAGTTATCAGTACCTCCATGTCTTGTAGATTGTATTTTATAGCAAGAACCTAAGAGAGGAAAACCAAGCAAGGAAGCCACCAGGGCTTATTCCGGGCACATATGTGCCAGGCTTGGTGGTCTGCACATATCCAAGACTTAATGCTGACTTGAGCTCATCTTTAGTAATGGTTAACTGAAAAATTACAGTATGGTAAAAACTGGAAATGGGCTTCAATTGAAAGGACACATCTCACGGATGTAAAATGCACAAAAGGGGAAGACTAAAGATACTGGCAGAGCCTTCAGACCAGTTATGGCTAAAAACATATGTCTAAATATCTGGCTGCTTTTCTCAAGAATCTTTTTTCTTTTTCTCTCAGCTGCAGGTGTGCTGTCCCGGAGAATCCGAACAATCACACCCTGCAGTACTGGAAGGATCACAACATAGTCACAGCAGAAGTGAATTGGGCTAACCTCACTGTCAGTGTAAGTTTGGGAGGTGTGAGATATACTAGCATTGTGGCAGCCACGTTTAGGAGGGACATCTAGCTGGGAAAGGGCTGGCCTTTAAATACCAGCTCTGGAACAGAGCTTAAAAAAGAAAACCAGCGAAGTGTGGTGGCACATACTATAATCCCAGTACTTGGAAGACTGAGGCAGAAGGACCCAGAATTCGAGACCACCCTGGACTACATAATAAGGTCAAGGTCAACCTGGACTATTGCATAGTGAGATTCTGTCTCCAAAATCCCCAGAAACACTAACCCTATTGACTTTATTTTTCCCTTTCAAAAATTTTTTTGTACATGAGGGGAAAAGAAGGCCATCCCTCTCTTCTCCCTTGTGCTCACCGCCCGAGGCCCTGGGCTAAGGCTATGGGGGGGGGGGTGAAACCTGCAGGGCAGGAGGCAGGTCTGGACTTTGCAGGGTTTAGAATACCTCAAGTTTGGAGATCCTCTATAATAAAAAACAATATAAATTGCTAGGGCCTTGGAGAGTCTTTGAAGCTCAGGAGAATTCTAGTTTCATTCTTAAAAGTGTCTTAAGACCATAGTAGGAGCCTTCTTGGAAGCCAGAGCCCCCCAGCTGCATGGAGGTCCCTGGGTGTGGCTGGCAGCCTGTGTTCCCCAGTGCCTGTGGGATAGCAAAGAGTGGTGGACGCACAAGGTGGCAGCTGTTTTTTCTCCTTATGTCATGCAGAATGTTTATTCTTCCAGAAATGCCAGGAGATGCATGGAGAATTTGTAGGGTCTGCTTGTGGCCATCATGGACCCTACACTCCCGATGTTCTCTTCTGGTCCTGTATTCTGTTCTTCACTACGTTCATCCTCTCAAGCACTTTAAAGACATTTAAGACGAGCCGCTATTTCCCAACCAGAGTAGGTAGCACACTCGTGCATCGCTTTTGTGTTTGGGTTGTGGTGTGAGAACCAGTGCCGCCCTCTGTGCTGATTGTGGACCGGATCAGTGGTGTGGAGAGCTCCGCATGCCCTGATAAGCTACGACAGGAAATCTCTTCTTGTGTCTGGCACCTGTTTCATAGATCTGTGGTGTGGAATGGGGATTCTTAGCATCTTTTTGACTTAAAAGTACAGTGCCAGATAAGCTTAAGATGGTAGCAGTGTTCTCCAAAAGCTGTTAAGTCTTACTCCTACAGTGTTATTAGTTTCATTCCCAGAATTTGGGGACACTGAGCATGCAACAGCTGGAGCTAGCCTGTGAACATGGTAAGCTGGGATGGCTTCTTGGCTACTTCAGGGGATCCCTAAGTCCGGGTCTCCTCCTAGAGATGGCTCTGTAATCACTTATGAAGTCACTAGCCACATCGATGGCAGCAGGCACGGTGCCCCTGATATGGTTTGCATCACTGAGGCCCCACAACCTCTCCCTTTTGCGGATAGCACTGTCTGTACCATGAGCAAGGCTTCTCCCTGTTTTGTCAGGGCTTTATTAGAGTAGCTATGTGGGCCCTTGCTTTGAAAGGGAGCTCAACTCAGGAGCAAGTGGTTTTTCTGAAAGCGAGCTTTCAATCAGGCATATTTTCAGAACAAAGTATATGCGTGGGTGGGGGGTCAGTTGCTATGTACTCATATATACACAGAGTCAGACCCATTCTTACACTTCATGAGCCTGTGCATGATTAAGATGCATACATATTCAGCAAGTTCTGAAGCTTTGTTTACTACTTGAACAAATAGTTAACAGAGGGCTCCTGAGGACTGAATAGTTGCTCAGGAATAGGTAAGTGCTGTGGTAGATGCAAAAGACTTTTACAGGATAGCACCACCTGTCAAATAGAGCGAGGGAAACACATGAGCTGATTGGAGGCCATGTGCATCCGGTAAGTAGTTGGATGCCAGTCTGCTAAGTCAGCATCACAGGCGTGTGGGGGAAAGAAGAGTCACTGTGTCCCTGCAGCGCCAAGATGGCTTTCAGGTGGGGTGAGTCTGCAGAGAATTTATTTAGCACTCAGGGAAGAACTAACAAAACCATGGAGAAGGTGATAGATTCCTTAGGTGACAAGGCAAAGTGAAGTTTTGTTAAGCTACTGGCGATGTTATTTATGCCTAATTAATATGCATTCTGCACTGGCTGTGTTGGAAGCTCTTATTAAGGTAGGCACGGTCATTTGATGGAAACTGTTTTCATGTTGTAATAATTTTTCTCTTATTCCTTTTTTATTTTAATTTTTCTTTTCTTTTTTTTTTTTTTTTTTCTTACTTTTTTTTTTTTTTTTTTTTTTTTTTTTTTTTAGACAAGGTCTCACTATGCAGTCCAGGGTGGCCTTGAACTCACTGTTGTAGTCCAGGCTGGCCTCAAAGTCACAGCTATACTCTTGCCTCAGCCTCCCAAGTGCTGGGTACAGGTGTGCACCACTACACCAAGCAGAAACTATTTTATTAAAGCTACACTAAGATAGAATGCAATATATTTTCTTAGAGCAGGTCTTAAATTGGATGGAACTCTACAACAAAATGGAAATAAGGGAGAGGTGGGGGAGGGAGAGAAGAGAGAAAGGAAGGCAGGCACGCAGGCAGGAGAGAAGTCCAAGAAGTCCTGGGGTGGCAGCAAGTAACCAATTTTAAGTAGGATCATCAGAGAAGATACTGGGGGAAAGGCAGTGTATGCCTTACGCTGGTGGAGGTTAGTGAGCTATTCAAGACGTCACCGGAGGAAAAGCACTACAGGTAGGGGGGCGAGCGAGTGTGAAGACCCTGACGTGTGAGAGGCTGGCACCTTTAAAGAGCAGCAAGGAGATGTATGGCTGGAGCAGAGTGAGCAGGAAAGCCTTAGGAGCTGTGCAAGGAGTGGGGAGGATGCCATCTGTGGGCCTCAGAGGCCAAGTGGGCGTTTTGGGTGTTTAATTCCATGAAACAGAGTCATTTGAAGATTTTGACAGAAGTGTGATATGACCCAGGTTATTTTTAATTACTGTTCCTGTGGCTGTGTTTAAAGAAAACTGTGGAGGACAAAGACAGAAGAATATTAGGAGGCTGCTACATTTGCCCCTGCAGGAGCTGATAGTGACTGCCCCGAGTGGGAGCAGTGAAGGTGGTTAGAAGGGCCTAGAACCTGGAGAATCGCTGTGAGGGCAAGTGGAGTTGATACTACCGCTGATGTTCTTGCCCACTATTTTGGACCATGGCCATCCGAAAGAATCTTACTCTCAAGTTTCTAGAACTACAACTAGAACCTGAACCAAAGGGCCTCAAATAGAACTCCTTACAGATTGGATTTGGTCCCATGGGAGTTTGTCAAAGGGTTTATTCTCCCTCATTATGACTACACTTCAGGGGCATTAATTTGGGTGTGCTAATATATTTCTGTTGTTTAAATAGGCTTCTATTTGTTTAACTATAAAATGAAAGCATTTTCCTGAGAACTGTTAAAGCTTTTTTTTTTTTTTTTACAATATTAACTTCTTTTCTACCGTATGTGACTTAACAAAACACTGTTTGAATCTCCTGATGCCAGGTCCGCTCCATGGTGAGTGACTTCGCAGTTTTCCTCACTATCTTCACCATGGTGATTATTGATTTTTTGATTGGCGTCCCCTCACCAAAGCTGCAAGTTCCCAGTGTGTTCAAGGTAAATGGATCTCGGGTTGCTTGGTGCCTTCGTGTAGTTTCATAGACTCTGATCCCAGGTTGATTTCAAAGGCCTTTCCACATACCGATTGTTAGATAAATATAAAACTTGATTCTCATACTTTGCTATTTAGAAAAGTCAACTGTTTAGGTCTGGCCGAGTTCAGATCAGAAAAGTTAAAAAACAGAAAAAGGAAGGTTGTTTAATAAATGAAAAAAACCCAACCCAGTTATCATGAATACCACTTAGAGTTAAGATTTAAAATAATGGAATATGCTTAGTTACATAAATGTACACCAGACGCTTTGGAAATGTGGGCCCCTGGAACAGTTAACAATACCTTTACTGGGCAGCAACTGTTTAACAGCTCCAGGAAGGATGGAAACAGTAAAGGCCCGGATCGCTCCTCTCGGGGATCTCCCTGTGTAGAAGGAAATGAACCTACGAGGGCCCCTGACTCCAGTCCAGTGGGACCCCTCCCAGAGTAACCAGGAGAGCTCTGCAGTGCTCTCTGTTGTTTACTTGTATAATTATCTGTAATTTACAGTGTATTTAAAAAAACATACAGCGCACAACTAATACATGAGATCCAAATCTATTTTAGTTTGGCAGCGCAGAGGAAACAGAAGATAGATTTGCTGTGCTCAGACTTGCAGATCTGCATTGGGTAGAGGAGAGAAGACCTGGCACACTCAGTGACTTCAGAAGAGCAAGAGGGTAGGGGGTGGGAGAGAGTTTGAGGAGAAGGCAGACAGGAAAAGGGCAGTTCCTTTGCCTGCCTTTGGCCCAGTTCTTTGGCCTGTGGCTTCCCTTTGTCTTTCTCTATGAAAAAGTCCTCTTAAAAATATCTTTTTCCATATTGTATAAAAATGTTTAATTTTGCTAAATGTGTTAGAAATTCTTTCAGTTAGCAATTTATGAGTTAACGAACACCCCGCTACAGCACCTCTGGAAATCTGCCGTTCTCATCTCCGCATGAATAAGCATCATCAGCCTTCTCTCTTAATACCTAGCTGAGGTCAGCCCTGCAGGAGGATTGGATTTTATGTAATAATAGGTAACTTAGGAGCATTAGGTGCTCCTTGGAAAAGTTCCCTGATGGGTAGGGAGGTAGTCAGAGTCACTGAATTTCTGGGTCATCTGGGAAGAAAGCCTCAGGGAGGAAGGAGAGAGATGAGGAAGGGAATGTCTAAGAAAATGTTGCTAATGGCTGGCTTCGTTTTCAGGAAGCAAAGAGGATGCTTTCTCTTTGCATTTTCCCTTCCCTAGTAAGTCACATGGCCATCAGCTTCCAGGATGCAACCTAAAGCTGAGATGGTCACCCCTTCATCCCTTCATATTCGCAGAGATGGTTCCAGGCCCTTAGGGATATGGGTACTCCGGTCCCAATGTGACTGTAAGTGGTTGTTATGCTGTAGTGTTTAGGAATAATGATAGGGAAAAAGTCGATGTGTTCAGTGTCGATGCAGTTTTTTCCCCAAATATATTCAATATGCAGCTGATAAATCAAAAAAATATTGAACTCACAAATATGGAGGGCCAGCTGTGCTCTTACTAGGGGCCATCATGTCACTAACATTTAATAAGTTTTGTGCTTTTCTAAGAACTTAGCTGCTACTTAGAACATTGTTATTAAGGAAACATAGGTTCTCTAAGCTCTAAATAAATTAGGACTTAGTAGCATTATGACAAAGCCTCGAACTTGCAAATCACAATTTATATAGAACTAAATAATCTGGATATAACAAATTTTGCTTTTTGTTGTTGAGTTTGGGTTAATTCTGAGCTTTTTTTATATCCCTGGCTTTTTTTTTTTTTTTAAATGAACCTTTGATTTGTGACAGAGTAAATTATGAGCTTCTGAACTGGAAATCAATGGAGGGGGAGATTCCGTACCTCATACCATACAGTCAGTTCTACATGACATCCTTTTTATGTCAGGAAAAAAAACTAAAGGTTACAGAATACTTTCATGATAAGGATTTATTAAAGGTAAAAAAAACAAAGTCATTAACTCCAGAAAGCAAAAATAAGGAAAGCAGTGGGACAAGGTGGCACATGTCTGCAATCCTAGTTACTCCAGAGACTGAGTCAGGAGGAGAGTAATCCAAACTCAAGGCCAGCCTGGGCAGGTTAGTGAGGCCCTCTTTCAAAATGAAAAGGAGCCTATCGTGGTGCAGGCCTGTAATCCCAGCACCTCACCTCAGGGGTGAGGCAAAAGGATTGCAAGCTCAAGCAACCCAGGCAACTTAGAAAGTTTAACAAGACCCAATATCAAAATAAAATTTAAAAAAGGAGTTAGGTAGGGTGTCGCACACCTATAATCACAGAACTGAGGGAGGCCAAGGCAGGGAGGTCATGATTTATAGTCCAGCCTGCACTGCATAAAAAAATCTCCCCCATGAGTATCATTAGTCCTACAAATTAAAATGAAAAATGGTCCCGTGAGACCCAAATAAGTAGTTGGGAATATTTAAAGCAGTGTCTGGGAAAGGGTACGTTCCTGAGGTAGAAGGACCCAGCATGAGGCCCCACTGTCCTAGGCCACAGGCCCCCCATAAACTCAGTATAGTTTCTGGCCCACTGTGTCCTGGTCCCCAAAGGTGCCCCCCTTCTGAAACCTGGAGGTTATGGTGGAGACAGAGTGTCTGGAAGGCATCTAGGACTGTGGGGAACTCAGGGAGGCCCCAGGGGGATCAGAGCAGGGGTGGGGTGCAGCCCCAGGGCCCCTCAACCCCAGAGTATCACTTGCCAGCAAGCCAGGAACTCTCCTGCAGGGCAGGAGCTGGGTGGGTGTGGAGGCTCAAGGAGGGAGAGAAGTGGATGAGCTCAGTGCGTGCTGCAGGCTGTGTAGCCCCTGTCACTGCTGTACCCACAAGGTGAGCTTCAACTGCAGGCAGCTGGCCCAGCACCTTCTGAACCGCACCTGCACGTGGTACTCCTCTGGATCCAGCCTGGCTGCCAGGGCCACTGCGGTCTCAAGGGAGGGTACCTGTCTATCTTGAAGTGCTTTTCTAGCTTGTGATGCTGTTCCTTGCCGTAGCTCTTGGCAGTGGGACCTGTATGCTGGGAGATGATGTCTGAGACCAGTGGACCCCTCCCATCTCCTCAGAGCTGGCTTTGAATAAATACCTTTTCATTTTTACCAAAATAGATGGACTCTGTTGATTTGGTCAGTGTTGAGCAAATGAACGTGAGCATAAGAACCCAGGAAATCACCAGTTTCTGCGTCTTGGCCTCTGCTCTGCCCTGCACCTCCCTCCCTGGCCTCTTGTCCTCTAATTCCACCTGCCCAAAATGGTGACCTCGTCTTCCCCACAGTACCCTGGGGATACGAGCTGAGGTTCTAGGAAAGTTTGGGTCTGTCCTAGCTATCCCAAGCTTTGTGAACAATTGTATTTTAGAAGCACTGGAGGGCTTCGTTGGTCAAAAAGTTCAAGTATAGAAATGTTGGGTGTTCCTCAAGCTTCTGGTTTAGTTCCTGTTGCACTTTTTTTTTTTTACGGAACCGGGGATCGAACTCAGGCCCTTTACTGAGCCATCTCCCCAGCCCTCCTGTTGCACTATTGATGGGAGAAGACCTGTGGAGCGATCCAGCCTAAGCCTAAGAAATTCATGCAGCTGACTCCATCTTGCCTTTACTGTGCTGTGGACGCAGTGTGTGGCTTCTGGAGAGGAGGAGAGAGGAGGCCAGTGAACGTCAGAGGCTGCATGTGCTGCAGAGGACTCAGCATCACGGCTCTAAGTTATTTATACTTGTCTTTGGAAGCCATTGATTTTTTTTTCTTAGAACAGATTTAGCTGTTAATTATATTTACTTGGACTAATGTTGAGATAAGTTTCTTTCTTTGTGCAGAGGGATTTGGAGAATAAGTGGGAAGATATATAGGATTAGTAAGTATTCCAAGTCAATAATTGAGGTTTGACTGTTTCAAAGAGGATTTGGAAAAAGGTCATAGATTTCCTAAGGGGTTGCTGTATTTTGTGTCTGTTTTCTGTTTTCTTCTTTTTAAAGAAGGATTCTCATTCCAATGAAAATTAAAAAAATGTCTATGTTTGATTCACTTTGATCTGTTTTGCCCTAATAACTATAGTTAATTCAAACACACAAATAGTGTCTTATTTTTTCCCACTAGCCAACAAGGGACGATCGGGGCTGGATTATCAATCCCATTGGCCCCAACCCCTGGTGGACTGTGATAGCTGCAATCATCCCAGCTCTTCTCTGTACTATCTTGATATTCATGGACCAGCAGATTACAGCAGTCATCATTAACAGGAAGGAACATAAGCTCAAGGTAATAAGAAGCTGTGACCAAGAAGAACGCCATGGCAGCCTGTCGCATTTTTTATTTTAGGATAAGCCCATGTACACCAGGAACTGTGGAACCTGGATAAAAAGCCTTAGAAGGGCTCATAAGGGGTCTTCATTCTTGACCCACTAATAACAAAAGATTGGTTTGCAGATAAAATTGCATGGTAGTGTGATGGGAAAGAATCTGGGTTTCCATTCTTCTCGTAAGCCTCTGAGGGACGATGGTGGGTAGAGTTCTTGATGGCCCTTATCTGCTACATGCTCTTGAGTCCACAACTGTATAAGTTGTTGTCCTGAGGCTCGGGTCAGGGCTTGGGCAACTGCATTCTCCTTGTGCAGGTATTCTCCCTTTAGTGTCACCTATAAGGGTTTTGTGGATAGAACTTTGAGCTGCAGGGTCATCGGGTGCTAGAGTTGGTTTTAGTGCATGGACTAATGAGGTGCCGTGTGACTTCCATCTCTGTTCTTTACTTATTTAGTTTAGGTAACGTTCAGATCCAGCAAGGATCTAAGGTGTAAGTGTCTACTAGAATTATCAAGGCATGAGTTGGTCTTTACTTACTTTTCCAGGGAAAATAGATCTTTGAATGGGTGAGACTCAGGGTAAACCAGGGACACTTGGGCAGAGGATGGGTATCAACACATAGGACAGGCTAAGATTTCTCTTTTCCTTTTCTGTTTCTTCCTAACCAGGCAGGGTTGCAAGACTCCTCTGGCATCCCTGGGCTCTTCCTCTTGCACTTGCCAGAGGCCCTTGGCTCGCTATTATATACAGCCCTCTAGCTAGCCCACTGATAGTGACAGCTGCTACTCTTGTTCTCCACAGAAAGGCTGTGGCTACCACCTGGACCTGCTGATGGTGGCCATCATGCTGGGTGTCTGCTCCGTTATGGGCCTGCCGTGGTTTGTGGCTGCCACTGTGCTGTCCATCACACATGTGAACAGTCTGAAGCTGGAATCTGAGTGCTCTGCTCCTGGAGAGCAGCCCAAGTTCTTGGGCATCCGGGAGCAGAGAGTGACAGGCCTTATGATCTTTGTGCTGATGGGCTGCTCAGTCTTCATGACGGCTATCTTGAAGGTAATTGCTCATTCACTTACAAGACAAATGCTGAGTGCCTTTATACCAGGAATCCTGCTGAGTGTTCAGGGTGTAGCGGTACACCAAATGGAACGCATGCACATTCCTGTCCTGGAAGAGCTTATTCTAGTGGGGTAAGATAGATAATATCTGTGTAGTTAAGAAAATTAGTTGAGGAAACAAACATGATAATTACAGAATGTCATAAGTGATGCAGAAGAGATATATATCATTCTTTGCAGCTATGAAGAATAAAAGGGTTCTCTTTGGTTGGATCAGAGATGGCACTATGTAAGAGAAAATGGAGCCAGCCATATCATGGGTGGTGGAAGATGCCAAGACGGAAGAGAGGAGAAAAGTGGCCACGTCTGGCCCTGAAGTAGGAAAGAGTAATATGTGTTCTGTAAAATATTAAGGCCATGTGGCTCAAGGGTGCCAAGTAAGGCAAAAGTCAGTGAGATGAGGCTGAAGCGGAGGCAGGGCAGAGCAGCCAGGGCCTTGCTGGTGCTGGGAGAGCTTGCCGTGGGGTTGTACCAGGAAAGGGACGTGACTTGATTAGGATGGCTTTTTGTTTGTTTGTTTTGTTTTGTTTTGTAAAAATCCCATCAGCAGCTGTCCAGAGAGTGTTTAGAGCAGGAGACTGGAAGCTGCACAACAGAGCAGTTCCAGTGTGAGATAATGTTGGCTAGGACAGACGAAAAGGCAGGGCTCCTGCATGTCTTAGAGGCAGGTTGAAAGGTCTGGCCAGCTGAAGTGGCTGTGGAATGAGGTGAGGAGGAAACCAAGATGCCCATTAGATTTCTGACTCAGCCATCTGGGGAAGAGGAATAGTATTGCTTAAAATGGTATAGATGACATTTTGATTTTGCAGGAGATAGGATAATAGGTAGGATTTGAATGAGAAGGCTGGTATTAGCTTCTAAGGGGGAAGAGACTAAGAGGGGAGGTTCTGGATTAAAAATATTATATTATTATTATTATTATTATTATTATTAATGATATTGAAAACAGAGGGTAAGTGAGTGCACTTGGGAGAAGGGTAGATTCAAAAGAGGGGCTGGGCATGCTGGTGCGCTCCTATAATCCCAGCACTTGAAGGATGAGGCAAGAAGATTGCTCTGAGTTCAAGGCCAGCGTGAGACAACATATGCACTGTTCAAGGCCTACTCTTGTTGGTTGGGCTGAATTATATAGCAAGACCTAATCTCAAAAATAAATAAACAAACAAACAAGTAAAAATCGAGAAGAAGGTCCAGAGAGAAGAGCAGACTTTAGAACCTGGGTTGAGGAAGAGACAGCGGGAGCCTCAGAAGGAGCTGCCAGCCAAGTTTGGAGGGAAGCTGGGAAGGTATGGTGGCAGGCCAAGTGAGAGGAGTGTTTCAGGAAGGACAGCTTGGGTGGTCAGAAGATGTCCGGAGAGATGATGACTTAACCACGGATCTTGGATGTGTCTGTCTGTCTGTGCCCCTCCCCAGGGAGGAGGCAGAGCCAGACAGGGGCGAGATGCGAGGCCTGCGATTTCACTTAACATGTAATCATTTCATTTCAGAACAAAATAATTTTTATCATTGTTAGCTTCTGCTTGTGTTTCTGTCAAGGCAGCAGAAACTAAAGGAATGTTTATGAAATTCTTGTGACTTAATTCCTTCTTGGAGATTTAAAAGCTCATAAAGTGTTTAACATGTCATGATACCAAATTAATGTCTGATCTTTGTGCCGTGGTCTGCAGTTTATCCCAATGCCAGTCCTCTACGGAGTTTTCCTCTACATGGGAGTTTCCTCGTTACAAGGAATCCAGGTATTGTACAGTTGACCATGGCCATGTCTTCTCATTGTGAGTTCACCCATCCTGACCAGGGAGGGACAGTTCTCTAAGAAAACCACAGCCAATTCTTTTATTTTTATTTTTTTTTAAAGAAAAAGAAACAAAAAAAATCAACCAACCAAAAAACAAAAATTCCAAAACAGTATAGTAGGAGGTTAATACATTGTGTGTTGTTATCTGTAAATTAGTTACTTAGAGTACAAGATATCAGCATGTAGTTGTCCAAACAATGTTAACACAAACCTGTCTTTTCAATGAACTGAGAGAAATTTTAATATATCTATATCTATTTTTTAATGTATTTGGTACAGGGTTGCTCAGGCTCGTAGTGATCCTCCTGTTTTCAGCCTCCCCAGTGCCGGGATTACAAGCGTGCACAACCATGCCTGGACTCCATCTCAGCTCAGCGTGCCTGGGTGCAGCATGTGGTCCTAGGGGTCGAACCTAGTCCCTGCACTTGTCTAAGCAGGCACTTAGTCCGTCGAGCTATCTTGCTGGCTATATATATATTTTTTTCTTCTGCTTTTTTCTTCCTTTTTTTTTCTACTTTCCTAAACCAGTTTCTCCTTCTTTCTGAGGTTTTTTTCCCCATTTTACAATATCTGTTGTACATTTTGGATCACATGTACTCTCAGTTTCTCACACTAGGGAGATATAGTATGTTGTTGACACATTCGCATCTTCTTTCACCTATGGACGTGCTCTCAAGTTGTATCCATGTGTATCCTTCTTTATGGCTAGGTAAGACCACATTATATAAAAAGACCACTTTTTTTAATCCATTCCTCGGTTGATCGGCATTTGGGTTGTCTCCCAGATCTAGCCATTACAAATTGTACTGTGATAAACATGGGTGTGCATGTATCTCTGTGGTAAAATATTTTGAATTTTTTGGGAAGACGCCCAAGTGGGGACTAGCCAGGTCAAATGGGACCTCCAGTCCTAGTGTTTTGGAGAACTCTCCACACTGATTTTCACAGTGGTTGCAACAGTCTACGTTGCCATCAACAGTGAAGAAGAGTTCCTGGTTCCCTACTTCTCCGCCAACATTTGTTCTTGGCTGGTTCCTTGATGATAGCCATTTTTTCCAGAGTGAAAGGGAATCTCAGAGTTGTTTTAATTTGCATCTCTTGAGTGATGTTGAACATTTTCTCATGCGTTTATTTTCTGTTTGTAGTTCTCCATCTGAAAAGTGTTTATTCATTTCCAGTGCTTATTTTTGGATTTGGCCTTTAAATTTATGGGGGGGATCCTGATTTTTTTGAGTTCTTTATACATTGATAGTAAACATTTATTCTCCACATTGTGAGTTGTCTCTTCACTCTGTTGTTAGTTTCTCTTGTTGTGCAAAAGCTTTTTAACAAGATGAGAACTCAGTTGTTGATTCTTTGTGACAGTTCCTGTGCAATCAGGGTTTTATTCATGAAACTTTTGCTTATACCAATGTCTTCAAGAGTTTTATCTATTCAGTCTTCCAGCAGATTTACCATTTCTGTCTTAATATTCAGATCCTTTATCCATTTCAAATTTCATTTACTGTGTGGTGAAAGATGGGTCTAATTTTTAATTTCTGATGTGTGCAAAAATTGCATGTTCAGTTTTCCCAGCATCATTTATTAAAGAGGATATCCTTCTGCCAGTGTCTGTTTAACCCTTTTGTCAAATATAAGGTGGCTGAGTATGTCTGGAGTTCTGCATCTTCTAATCTGTTCCATTGATCTTTGTTTTGTTTTGTTTTTTGCCAGTACCACACTGTTTTTAATCACAGTAGCTTTATAGTATAATTTCAAATCCAGGATTTTGATGCGCCCGTGTTGCCTTTGTTGCCTAGATTTAAAAAAAAAATTTTAGGGAAGGGTCTACAGGGTGTTCAGGGTCTCACTACTAGATCGGACTTGTAGTGATCCGCCTGTTTACAGCCTCCCAAGAGCTGAGATTACAGGCACGTGCCACCACGCCCAGTCTCAATTGCCAACTCAGCATGCCCCAGAGGTAGGGCTGGCACATCAGGCCCAGGGATCAAACCCCTGGCCCCTGTGCCTGCTTGCCTGTACTTTAATCTGCTGAGCTATTTGGCCAGCCCCATGTTGCCTAGAATTGCTTTAGCCACTCTAGGTCTGTTCTGGTTCCAAATGAATTTTAGGATTGTTTTCTCTAATTCTGTGAGATATGCTCTTGGAATTTTGATTGGGATTGCACTAAATCTGTGTAACAGTTTTGTTTTCATTTTTGTTTTTCTTTGTGGAACTGGGGATTGAACTCAGGCCCTTGTGCTTGCCAAGGAAGCACTTATTCCACTGAACCATCTCCCCGGCCCCGAGATTTGAAAGTATGGTCATTTTCTCTATATTGGTTCTTCCTTCCCAAGAACAGAAGATATCTTATCTAAGGCGTGTGGAGCTGGGGATCAAACTGCAGTATCCTGCGCCTGATTATGTTTGCATAAGCACGCACTTAAACAACTGAGCTAACAGGCAGACCCCCATCTTTGTAAGATTTATTCCTAGGTATTTCATTTTTGGGAATACTATTGTGAAAGGTGTTTTTCTAGTTTCTCTCTCAGTGAGTTTATTATTTATGTATAGGAATGCTATTGATTTTTGAGTGTTGACTTTGTATTCAGCTATACTACTGATTTTGCCTATTAAATCTAGTACTTTTTTAGCCACAGGCACTTCTTGAGAAATTATTGCCTAGTCTTGTTTGGCTGGGCTAGTTTAGAAATTTTTTCAGATATAGGACAAATTATGGTTATGTTGGCCTGAGAGTACAGAGACTTCCAGAGTGACTAGGCTTAATGTCATTATTTTAGTAATTCACTCCGTATTCAAAAATTGTTTGGCATGTATTACTAGGTTCTTTGCCAAGTGGTGATAAACCTGGATCTGAAATGTTGGTCAAGAAATAGATTGTGTTGCCAGGCATGGTGGTGTATACCTGTGTCTCAACAGTTGGGAGGCAGAGGCCAGCCTGAACATTCAAGGCCAGCCTGAACTACATTGTGAGATCTTGTCTCAAAAAAAAAAAAAAAAAAAAAAAAAGAACCAGACTGTCTTCCATACATGGTTAGTCCAGCACCGTGCTAATGTATGTGAGAAGGGAGTTTAACTTTGGAATGCTTTGCTGAAAAGAATAGGGAGTAACAGGAGTTGTCACGGCAGGCAGACATTCTGCGTTTTCCTGTCAGTCGGTTCATTCCTCAGAGTCCATCCAACAGAGTAAGTCAGGAATCATCATCAATGACTTGGCCAGTGCAGATGATGCAATAAACACTTTTTCTGTTATTAGTGTTTAATAATAAACACTATCTTGTGGACTGTCCAGTGACCATTCTTTAGGTAGTCTGATGTGACATTGGACAGATGATTGTATTTAACTTCTGGGTCTCTGTTTTTCTTTCTATAATATAAGGATGATCATAGCTTCCATATTCAATGTTATGATGTTTCACTTTTATCTTTTTGCTATAAATAATCAATGCATAGCCCTACATTCCTTAAAGAACAGTTAAAAACATTGGATTTGATGGTAAGCAGAAAGATGCAGTTGACTTATTCTGTTTGCCACTTTGCCTGAGAAAGAGGCACGGGAGCCACAGCATGGGGTAGGAGAATGAGGTCTGAAGCAGAATTAGAAAAGCTAGCTTGAGCTCATGCCTGACATTTCTGTTCTCTCTGAGCCTCAGTTTCCATTTCTGTCCAAGGGAAATAGTGCTAACTACTTTTCAGCAGGTGAGCTGAGCGAGCTGAATGGACCTAACAAGACTTCTGACTCAGAGGCCTCCTAAAAATAATGCTGGTTCTGCCCTTCCAGTTCTTCGATCGTCTGAAGCTTTTCGGGATGCCCGCCAAGCACCAGCCGGACTTCATCTACCTGCGGCACGTGCCTCTGCGCAAAGTGCACCTCTTCACCCTCATCCAGCTCGCCTGCCTGGTCCTGCTGTGGGTCATCAAGGCCTCTCCAGCAGCCATCGTCTTCCCGATGATGGTGAGGGGTTTTCAAAAATGTAAACTATTATTATTGTCTTTTAAATTGTGGTAGAATGCATATAACATGAAACTTCCTATTTTAACAAATACCTTAAAGAACAAAAATATTGGTGTGTCTTCAGTGTACAGTTCAGTGGCATTAAGTATGTCATGTTGTGGTACTTACCACCGCCTGTCTCCAGAACATTTTTTTGTCTTAAAAAGCTGGAAATTTGTACTCATTAAAACCATAACTGCACCTGGGAGATAGTTCAGTGGCATAAGCACCTGCCTGGCAAGTGCAAGGTCCTGAGCTTAATTCCCAGTAAAACAAATATTCAAACATAACTGCCTATTCTCCTCTTCTTGCCAATCTCTAGGAAGCCACCATTAACCTTCTATTTTATTATACATATATATCAAGGGAACTATACAGTATTTGTCCTTTGTGCCTGGTTTATTTTACTTAGCATAATATCTTCAAGTTTATCCTTATTATGGGACTATTCTTGTGTTTGTTTTTTTTTTTTTTTTTTTGAGATAGGGCCTCACTGTGTGGTTCAGGCTGGCCTTGAACTTACTAAGTAGCCTAGGTTGACCTTGAACTTTCAGCAATTCTCCTGCCTCAGCCTCTGGAGTGCTCTGGTTACAGGTTTACACTACCACTCCAGGCAATCCTTGTGCATTTTATGGTTGAATAGTAAGTACTCCATTGTATGTGTAGACCACATTGTGTGTTTCCATCGTCTGTGATGGGCACTTGGGCCATGTCTACCTTCTGGTTGCCGTAATGCCCCTGTGGCCGTGGCTGCACACATGTGTCCCCGCCAGCAGTTCCTCAGAGAATATAGCTACCAGTGGCATTGCTGCACCATATGGTAACTTTGTTTTAGATTTGTTCTCTCATTCCCTAGAGAACTAGATAGTAGTCTCCTTTTGTCAGACTCTGCATTTGTGTGTTGTATTCAGGAATTAAATGTGTAGTTAAGGAAACAGTAAATTCCTAGGAAGGAAGTCCATCAAACTTGGATTTTTTTGGAAAATAGTCATTAAAATTGGAGGAAATATGGTTCAACTTGTTAAGCATGATTGGCCTCATTCCTTGCCAGCCACCAGATGTAGCTGATGAATGCTAATTCACCCAGGCAGGTTGTTCTAGATGGTATGGTTCTGTCTCCAGTACTACTCAGCCATAAAGAAAGATAAGCTTGCATCATTTTATAGGAAAATGGATGCACCCTGAGATCATATGTTAAGTAAAATGAATCACATAGCTTAAAATCACATGGTTTCTCTTTATATGAGAAACCCAAAATATAGATAAAGAGCAAAATAAAAGGCAGACAATAGAAAATAAAGACATAGATGGCTGGGGAGATAGCTCGGCAGTCTAAGCCCCTGCCTGGCAAGTGCAAGGAGCTGGGTTCAATACCTGGTACCACATGCTGTGCCAGCCCTGGAACCCCAAACACACAGTGCCCACCACTGAAACTAGGCATGGTGGCCCACACCTGTAATCCCAGCACTCGGGATGCTGAAAACAGAAGGATCATTATGAGTCTGAGCTGTGTAGTGAGACCCTGTACCAAGTACATAGAAAAAAAAAGATGTAAGAACTTAGGTGTGTTACATGCATGTGCCTACTGCCCATGACGAATGTGATCATCATATGCTACAGATGTGTATTTATAAAATTAAAAAATTGTAAAAAGCCCTCATGGGAGTAAAAGTGGAGCAGCAGTTGAGATATCCTGGCCCTGCTTCCACTGGGAAGATTGCTGTGAGCTTTTAGCCCTAGCATTGCTTCCTCTGGGCCTCAGATTCCTCCCCTATCAAATGAAGGTCAGGGTGGGCCAGAAAGCAGACACAAAATCCACTACAGCTTCACAGGGCAGGCACAAAAAAAAAAAAAAAAAAGATTTGGGAATGTGCAAGCCAAGGATCAGAGGGAGCGGGTTCTCCCAGGCTCTGTTACCCCGCGGTGAGGCATTGGGCTGGCTGTGGCCGGTCACTGTGCCTGTACTTCACGCAGTGGCTCTGCACTCCATGTCCCTGCCTGCTGGCTCAGGCCAGGGAAAGCAGCTGCTAAGCTATCTACAGATGGCTTCTCTTCTCAGTGAGGGAGTTAAATTAGTTGCTCTCTGATTTGTAGGTTGTTGTGGTGATCATTAAGCATTCTGTGTAAAACACCTCCGTACCCAGCACAGAGGGTGCTCGGTAAAAGGCGCCTGTTAGGACTGTTATGAGCTTCGTGTGGCTGGAGAAATCCTCGTCATCTGTGAAAACAGGACTTGGCTCTTAATTCCAGAAAGAAAATTAGATGCTGTAATTCGCTTTCTTCTTTCCATGTTTCTTGTAGGTCTTGGCCTTGGTCTTTGTCAGGAAAGTCATGGATCTCTGTTTCTCTAAGCGAGAGCTGAGCTGGTTAGATGATCTCATGCCAGAAAGCAAAAAGAAGAAGTTGGATGACGCCAAAAAGAAGGCCAAAGAGGAAGAGGTCAGAGTCCTCATAGTAACTGTACTTGGGGACCTCAAACATACAGAACATAGGAAGCGCCGCACGAAGTCAGCACGTCTGGAATCCCAGAAATTGCATTTAGGAGCTAGGAAGATTATCCCAAGGTGTTCTCAGCTGAGGAGGAGATTGAGATGCTTTTTTAAAATTTTAATTTATTTATTTTTATTTTTTGAGATTCTTTAATGCTTTTTTTTTCCTTTTTTAAATTTTGAAACAGGGTCTTACTATGTAGTCCAGGCTGGCCTTGAACTCCTGGTGTACCTCCTGCCTCAGCCTCCCGAGTGCTGGGATTACAGGTGTGCAGCACCACATTGAGAGATCTTGCTTCTGTCCACCCTTCAGCTTTGGATTTGTTAATCCGTAGTTTTCCCCTTTGATTTCTCTGTCTGCTCACCAGGCTCACACCTAGAATATAAACACTGCATCTGTTCTCTTCAGACCCAATGGCCCAAATTATCCCAAAACATCTAATTAGACAAGTACATGAACCCCATTATTTTTGGTGTTTCATACTTAATTGCAGTCATTGCTGTTTGGCACCACACAAATATAACTTGCATAGGGCTTTCTGTCCTACTTCCTTCAGCTCTTGGCACACTGTCATCTACAGAAGGGACCCTCAGGAAATGGCCTGTATGTGCAAGGAAACAATGTATACCAAAATGAAAATACTGGACCAAGTGAATGTGCTGGGAAGTATTTCCCAATATAAGAGTGCCCAGAGAGTCTCCTTTGAAATACATTTTTCTAATATCTTGCATTTTTAAAAGCACATATTATTAAGTAAGTTTTAATAATGTTAGGTACAGAAGCAGTGGAAGGAAACTTCTGATCTGGGGGTTGAACCCAGGGCTTCCTGCAGGCCAGGCAAGCACTGTAGCGCTGAGGCACATCCCCAGCCAGAAAGAAAGCTGTGAGGGGAATATTGGTAGAATTTGCTATGTAAAATGTGAAAATTTAAGGTATCTGAAAATTTTAAAATGACATTTGAGATGCGCTTATATGCTTACCATTCAAATAGTTCTTCCAAATTCATAAAAATAATGGAATGAAAATGAGCCAGGGACCCAGATAATTTACAAAAGAAAAAATACAAATGACTAGTTACTTTATGACAAAAAGCTCATTTAACCAACAAAGAAATGGAAATTTTAAAAAGGAGAACACATTTTTCACTTAAGAAATTAGCAAGGCATTTAGAAAAACACTAGTGTTGGTAACACTGTGATTGAAATTCTCATATACTAAAAGTGATAATATAAATTGAATAATTTTTTTTCTCTTTAATGGGCAGTTTAGACTCTTAAAAATGAATGTGTCTGGGCTGGGGAGATAGCTTAGCAGTCTAAGTGTCTGTCTGGCAAGCACAAGGACCTGGAGTCACACATGTCGTGCTGGTCCCAGAACCATAGGTACGCCGTGCTGGTCACCAAAATTAGGAGTGGTGGTGCATGCCTGTAATCCCAGCGGTGGGGAGGCTGAGACAGGAGGATCACTACACACCTCAACTGCCTAGTGAGACCATGTATCAAAAAAAAAAAAGCGGGTGTCCAAGCCAAGTACAGTGGCACACATCTGTGAACCTGTAGTCACAGCACTCAGAAAACAAGCAGGAGAACTTTGAGCCAAAGACCAACCTAAGCAACGTAGTACGACCCTGCAACTCTTAATTTCTAAATTTATTCTACAGATGTGTAAGAAATATAGACGAATGTTTTATATAAAACAGCTGCAAAGAAGAAAATTAGAGGTGTGTAATAATTGAATATTGGGCAACAGATTATTTTTTTATTTTGGGGGGCAACAGTTTAAAATCTACTTTTTTTTTTTTGGCGGAACTGGGGATTAAACTCAGGCACTTGCGCTTGCCAGGGAAGCGCTTATTCCACTGAGCCATCACCCTGGCCCTAAAATCTACTTTTAAAGGACACTTAATGATAGGACACTTAATGATATTTGTGACATTTTATGTGTCAGGATACAAACTGAAACATATAGTAAGAATCTATTTTACTTAAAAATAATACACAAATATTACAAAAAGATCAGAATAGGCCAAGTATTTATTGTGGTTCTGTATGTGCCTCTGAGTGATGAGTATGAATTTTTTTTAAAAATCACTTTATTTCCTTCCTTCTTTCCTCAAACATTTCCTGAATGCTTACTTTGTTCCCACTTTCTGAACCCAGTGGTGTGCAAGGCAGAGTCTCTGGCCTCGCGGAGCTTATGTTCTTGTGGATGACACCGTTTGTTTTATTATTATAGTGTTATAATATTATGTAGATATGAGATTATATCTATATAATTACACATAATTTTACACATATATGTAAAATTTTAGGTAATGATACATCTTAAGAATATAAAGGTGAGGGAGTTACTTTATGTAGGGCGACTTCAGGTGATTCCTCTGGGAAGGTGTCTGAACAGAGTGCTGAATAAAGTGAGAGGCGCTTCAGGAGAGTGTCCGTAAAGAGCATTCTCAGTGGAGGGTGTAGGAAACGCAAAAGTCTTGAAGAATGAATGGGCTTAGTATGCTTCAAGGACGCTGAAAGAGCCAGAAGGCTGGAAGGGAGAGTGACAGCCTGGAGACTAGTAAAGGGGCTGTGGCTCCAGCTTGGGATAAGGTGGAGGTGCTGAAAATGGCTGGATTTGGGACTTAGTTGAAGACAGAGCGAAAGATTTTGCTAGTGACTGGTGGGTATAAGGTATAAAAGAGAAAAATCAAGGATAACTCTATATGATCATTGTTAAGATGAGGAAGTCCAAAAAAATAGCAGATTTGGGAGGAAAACCAAGAGAGCTCTTTGAATGTTAAGTTCAAGGTGGCTGGTAGCCATTATACTCCATAATGTTCCAAAATTTCTGAAATAAACATGGGTTTGTTAATACATGTATATTACTTTATAAAATTATTGTAAGGGCCAGAAAGGTAGCTCAGCGGACTAAGCACCTGCTTAGGCAAGCACAGGAACTGGGATTCCATCCCAGGCACCATCAGCCAGGCTGGCCCCACCCTTGGCGTGCT